CAGAGTGATTAAGAGGTGCAAAGAAATATTTATTTAACTTTTAAACTTAAAATGGTCTTTTCTGTTCTGTGTTTCTTTTTCAAAACTGCGTCACGGCATTTGCTGCTATCAATACAGAAGCATCCGTTTCGATACATGTCTCAGCAAGGAGCACAGCCCTATTAAAAGCCGTGCTCCATGTGACCCTTTTATACTTTGAGCACCTGCCCCTCCAAAGGTCTCTGCACGGCCCTGAAACCTAGTGTCAAAACAGAAATCTACCTCTAACCACACTAGCAGGTTACCACTAGCTTATCTCTTGGTTAAAGTGGGGAACACATTTTTCTCAGAATATATTGTTAAATAGATCTCTGATATTATTTTATGATATTTGTGTCACAAAGAAAGTCATACAGGTTTTCAACAACATGAAGGTGAGTACATTTCTTTTTTGTGAACTATAGTTTTAAAAAAATTGGAAAAGAAAATGGTTTAAAATTTTATTTTTGAAAACAAAAGAAATGTGAAACTGAATGAATTGGCACATGTTGTCTAAACCTTCCTTTTCTGAGGTGGAAATCTTTTTTCTAGGTGGATGGACTTCTGGTTTTACATTACTGACGTAATTCCTGTAAGTGGGGTTTGCTTCATGTAAACAGAAGCTCTGTGGTGTCCTAGCATGCTCAAGTGTACATTTTGTGGTTTTGTGCATATTTACTTAAAAGAGGGCACAGAATTGTATACTTGTAAATATAAAATAAATACTTGTTTATTGGTTAATCACACAGTTACACTAGTTTTAACGTAAAATTATAAAAGCTTTGTCTTGATTGCCTTTGAGTGAAGCGCTCAATCATTTTTATAGTCATTTTTTGGTGCATGTCCACTTGGAAAATCAGATCAAAACTTTTCCTTCAAGCTAAGAATTTTGAAAAGTAAGCTGTTCAACAAAGCGGCTGCCACAATATACTAAGATGGTTAGCATTTTAATCATAAACCAGTTTGTTAAAATCAATCAGTTTCATAAAAACTTCATACCGTCATTCTTATCCCTTGTCAAATTATAAAAAAAAAATAATAATAATATATATATATATATATATATACACACAGATTTGTTCTTTTTGAAGTGTAAAGATTTTATGCATTAAAAAAAAAGGTTTGTACACCATAGTTGTTTTGGTGACATACATGTAATATCAGGGATTTAGAAGCCTAAGAAAGGCATTACTATCTACATGTTCATAATATCCCAAATAAACCAGTGCAGAAATGTTACATTTTATACTTACAGGTAGTTGGGTCCACACTCATGAATGCTGGGATTACGAGGTCTGCTGAAGTGCCTGGACTCTGAAGAGCTTGAAATGATGCGGGTAGATCTAGTGAGACCCCGAGCTCTGGTTCTCCTACTTGCTGGTGAAGTTCAGGGTCGGAATATTCAAATCTAGGGATGTTGCCAGCTTCTGCGTGTTCATCCTTCACACAGACTATTTCAACCTCCGCTTCCTCCTGTTTGATTTTATGTGAAGGTGCTCCAAATGCCACTGTGCTTGTAGTTTGGGATGACACACTTTCATCTGCCATCATGGGTGCAGAGAGGACGCTGCTGTCCGGCATGTCTGTGTGCCCAGTCTCTGCAGAGACGAGAGGGTTCTGCCCCCATACTGGATCACTGGTCTCAGACAGAAGCACCTGGCTGTCCACCAGATGAGGGCTTGAGATCTCAACTACGGAAACAACAAACGTCACTTTCTGTTGAGTTGAGGGAAAACATTAGGAAAGAATAATAATAATACTCACTGCTTTATTGAAAACAAGAGTCATATAACAAAATAAAAAGTATATAACAATATAACATTAAAAAATAATGGTAGACATATACAGTCATGTGAAAAAGAAAGAACACCCTATTGAATTCCATGGTTTTCTGTATCAGGACATAATAAAGAAATCATCTGGTCCTTGGCAGGGCTTAAAATTTGGAAAAAATGAATAAAAACACATGCCATATCACACCAGGTCACTATTTATTTAGCAAAAGTAAATCCAATTTGGAAAAGCCATGCGTGACAAATTCAGGACACCCTATGATTCAGTTGCTTGTAGATCCACTTTTAGCAGCAATAACTTGAAGTAATCATTTTCTATATGACTTTATCAGTCTCTCAGATTGTTCTGGAGGAGTTTTGGCTCACTCTTCTTTACAACGTTGCTCCAGTTTATTGAGGTTTGTGGACATTTGTTTATGCACAGCTTTCCCCAGCATTTCAGTCAGGATGAGGTCTGGACTTTGATTGGGCTATTGCAACACCTTGATTCATTTATTTTTCCAGCCGTTCTGTTGTAGATTTGCTGGTGTGCTTGGGATCATTGTCCTGTTGCATGACCCAATTTTGGCCCAACTTTAGCTGTCAGACGTATGGCCTCACATTTGACTCTAGAATACTTTGATATACAGAGGAGTTCATGGTCGACTCAATGACTGTGAGGTGCCCAGGTCCTGTGGCTACAAAACAAGCCCAAAATCATCAGCCCCCCACCAGCATGTGTGACTTTTGGTATGAGGTGTTAGTGCTGATATGCTCTTTAGGCTTTCACCAAACGTAGCGCTGTGCATTATGGCCAAACATCTCCACTTTGGTCTCATCTGTTCAAAGGACATTGTTCTAGAAGTCTTATGGTTTGTTCAGATGCAACTTTGCAAACATAAGCTATCCTGCCTTGTTATTTTTTAGAGAGAAGAGGCTTTCTTTTGGCAACCCTTCCAAACATGCCATACTTGTCTGGTCTTTTTCTAATTGTACTGTCACAAACTTTATTATTTAACATGTTGACTGAGGCCTGTAGAGTCGGAGGTGTAGTTCTTGGGTTGTCTGCAGTTTCTCAGAGTATTGTATGGTCTGACCATGGGGTGAATTTGCTGGGACGTCCACTCCTGGGAAGATTGGTGTCTGTTTTGAATGTCTTCCACTTGTGAATAATCTTCCTCACTGTGGAATGATGGACTTCAAATTGTTTGGAAATGGCCATA